GCAATTAACGTCTCAAAGACGCAGAGGGGGCTTTGGATTCACCTACAAACACAGTCTATAGAATTAATTAAGCAGCGTGCAGTCAAAACATGGGTGTGAAAGGTGTGAATTTTTGACAACGTCGAGATACCCGGAGCCGTCCGCGCGTGACGAGCGACCCTATCTGACAAACAGTTAGGTTCAGTGGAGCAGAAAATTGCCGATGTCGACATATACCAGGTAAATTTTGCTCTTGGGACTGTGAATATATGTCGAGATAACCAGGGTTGTCGAGATTACCGAGGTCGACATATCAGAGTTTTTGCAAATCATTCATATAGTAAATACTGCCGGGACCGCGGACGGACGTCGACATATCCCAGGTTGTCGACATATCCGATGTCGAGATACCGAAGTTTACCTGTATTTTATGTGCAGAGTGTTAGATATGTTTTCTCTTAAGCATATGGATTAGATATGTGCTTTAATGTGTGAATAAAATGTCTTGGGTATTTAAACAGTTGTTTGCTGATTCTATTCATTCGAGTTCATACTCATCTAGAAAATACAATGTTTGAAGAAAATCAGCATGAGCAAATTGAATTATTTAACAGTTATTTGGATATTATATTTTCTTTTTTTAGAATGTTAAGTGTTTACGAAGATGATATGTGCTATCCTTGTTTTTAAAGGATGATATTAATTTCAGAATTGTATATTATAAGTAAAATTAATGGATATCTTAAGCATTATACATTAAATCTTAAATATAGATCATGATTTCTCTACCGGAATCTGCTGCGGAAGTCTTTATACAGGTATATAAAATCTAAAATTGTACATTATAGAATGCAAAAAAACAGAAATATTTTGTGAAGAGCTGAGTATATAACTCATAACTAATAAATGTTTTGTTTATTTTGAATTCAGTCTTTTCCAACTATGGTTCAGAAAAGAAATGTTTTATTTGTGGATGAACAGAGTGAAGGAGAAAATAAGTGGCATTTCGATGTGGCGTTAAATATACTAGTCAACATTGGCAGGGGGCACCCTAGTTATGAATATGAAACAAATATTTTTAAATCAAAAATAATGAAAACACAATCTTTTCTTTTTGTAAAAAATAAAGTCCAAAGTGAACATCCTTTTTTTAAAATCAGTGTTTATAAATGAAATTAATTAATTACTTTTATCCAGAACAGTTCTTATTTTACTTAATAATAAATTCTGAACTATAAACTAGAAAACAGACTTGAGAGTTCTGCTAAGAGCTGTCGGAGGAAAAGAATGTGACACCTACACTTTGTACAGTAATGTTTAAAACAAAATAAATCACCTAAGCAAGATGACATAGAATCATTCAAATTTGTCAGAATTACAAATATTTAATATTATTAAAATTTTAAATCCTATCATGAAACCTTTTTGCCTCATTGAAGACTTCATACTTCCAAGCTCATTTCTCATATATATTGGTGTTTTGCAAGTTGACTTTATTCATGTAAAATCAGCAGTCTTCTTTTTCACTTTTCCTCATGAACTGTTTTTTTTTTCTACTTTCGGTTTAAAAGAAATGATCCTGATATAAATTATTTAATAGTTTACAAGTTAATCTATCTTACACATTGGGCTAATTCTTGCGTAATCAATGCAATCAAATAAATGTTTTCTCATGTTATCTTCCCCCTAACTCCAAAAAACATTACCTGGCCAGCTGCCTGTGTGCTTTCAAGCGAGAAGTGATTTCCTATCCTGACTTCACACCTTTGCGTGCATTAAATAATAAAGGGGCTAATCAGCATGCACTTGTTATAAACCAGCTGTAAACAGAGCAACTAACTGAATCTCGCCACTCTTGGGCATATTTATTTAATTTTGGCAACCAAAAAACAAACAAACAAAAAAACATGGCGCTGGAAAATGGTATACTGCCACGCCATGCTAGCTTGCTTTAGATTTAACACCATCAAACACTTGCACTACGTGTTGAAACCATTTTTGCATGGAGGCCGCCATTGCTGGAACTAAAACTAATACCGAAGTGGATGACGGAAATCGCGGAAAATTCCGGAAAATAAATATGAATATTGCCGAAAAAAAGTTTAGGGTTGGGGATCTAAAATAGGGACGGTCAGGTAATGGGAACCACACATATTTTTTTATTTGGCCTAATAATATTCCATACATGATTGAGCTGTCACCTGATGAACCTTTAATTCTTTTCTATTTTTATTTTTATATGCTTTATATGTATATGAATTATAAGAGTAAATGTAAGTCCAAAAACTTATTTTGTGACATCAATTTCATACCTGTATTTGAGTTGCCTTTTTGAGGATATACCGGGTAGATTATTCAAAGTCGATGTACATGTAGTCTTAGATGCTGCAGTTCTCTTGTACTTTAGCTATAAAATAAATCTTAATGTATACAATTGTGTAAGATGAAAGAATATTACAAACACTGCATGAAACAGACCAAAACTTTAACCAAAATATCCTCTATAATATGCTCTCTAAACTGAAGAATATGGTCATATAATTGCAGTCATATGAATTTTGTTCAATGATAAATGCAGAGAGAATTTGCAGAATATATAAAGAAAGTCTTATCGTTGGGATTGGGAAATAAGCAGGTCTAGTACAATCTCTTAATTTAGCTATATAGCTTGAAATAGCTATTTAGCTTTATTAAGCTATTCAAAATAGCTTGATTTAGCTATGTATATGCAGTTTTTCACAAAAATTATTTTGGTAATAAATACTGACAAAAAGTTGCATGTATTTGACTATTGAAATTCATATATGTGCTATGGGCTATCGAAACAACAAGCAAAATCAAAGATAGCTCCAACTTTGCAACTTTTGATTACTTTTAAGCAAAAGATAAATTTCTATTATTTGAGTAACTGTCCACTACCTTGTGTGCATTGAGGCATGGATAAGTATGATTGCTTCTCATTGAATGTACTGAATTAATCAATTATCTTGTTGACCATAATTGCATGGCCTCCTTTATAAATTCATTGAAGAAGTAACTTATCAATTGCATATGTAGCCCAAAAACTTTTAGAACTTTGAGTACAAAGTCTCTTTTGTTTCTATTTTCCTAATTATCTCCCCTTGTTTAAGGGTCACAACCCTAGTTTTAGTGTAAACGAAAGCTCTTGGCCCAAGGATACCCTGTGACAAATTTGACAATAATTGGCCAAAGGGTTCTTGAGTTATGGCCCATATTCTAAAAAGTTTACGCACACCGCACAAATGGCCATAGCATTAGCTCTTTGGGCCTTTGGCTCAGAAGAGCTTAAAAAATGAACCTCTTACATTGATTTTTGGTCAATATTTTTTACAGTTTTTTGTATAGTTTTTTGATGAACAATATGTACAGTATTTTCACCCAAATTCCTGTATTTTGAGGACTGCTGTACAGTATTTGGGCCTAAAAATTATCACATGTTTGATGTATGCAAGGAGATTTTAATGAGTGAGTTTTAAATGCATCAATTTCAGATGAGTTCAAGGTTGAGTATCATCACTGCACCAAGGTGCGACTTTTTGGGCATGCTGAGAAAAGTATAAATTTAAGAAAAAGTGTGATAAAATAGCTAAATTAAGCTATTCTGAACAGCTTAATAAAGCTATATATATAGTAAAATCAAAAGATTGTACTGGACCTGATAAGTGCTTTCAAACATTGAATACTTAAAAAACTAGACCTACTGACATGCAACAGCTAAATTTTTGTTGATAAATGAAGCGTATTCTGAACAAATTATTTACCCAAACAAAGGTGATGCTGTCACAAGATGACGTTCGTACCCATCTGACACTTACACTACTCCTCCTTAATCAGCTGGTAATAACATCATTATCCTCGAATTCAAGAAAAATCTGTTAATAAATTAGTTGGAATGATGATAACAAAACTATTCTAATCAGATACAAATGTATAATATAAGACTTCTATTTCACCCAAGAATACCCAAGAAGCAGGTGACATTCTCTGACTTGTTTACCTGTACTTCGATCGAAATTCTCCTCCTACTTGCTCGCACCCAAGCTTTTATGACCCTCAATTTATCCATCGTAAGTCGGAGAATCCTTCGGCTTTGTACAACTGCTTAAACTTTCCTTATACGCTTTGTCTAAACCATAAACATGCATAACCCAATACACATCTCCATGTGTGAGGTACCTGGAACTTAATATTATCGAAAAATCTCGCGAGTCACGTGACGAGACTTACAGACCCTAACGCAGCCCGAATTTGCTTGGTTCCAATGAAAATCTAGATAATCTTGAGGAAGGGAGCATTCATTATTTGTTGTTGTAAGAAATGCGAATAGGTGATATCACCTATTCGAATAGGTGATATCACTCATTCAAATTGAATAGGTGATATCACTTATTCGAATAGGTGATATCACTTATTCGAATAGGTGATATCACCTATTCAGCACGAATAGGTGATATCACCTATTCGAATAGGTGATATCACCTATTCATTTCGAATAGGTGATATCACCTATTCGAATAAGTGATATCACCCATTCGAATAAGTGATATCACCTATTCGAATAGGTGATATCACCTATTCGAATAGGTGATATCACCTATTCAATTTGAATGAGTGATATCACCTATTCGAATAGGTGATATCACTTATTCGAATAGGTGATATCACTTTTTGGCAGTAAATACCAAAACGGCGCCTCATAATAAACACATAAACACAGATTTAACAAGATAGTACTAAGAAACAAGAGATCAGACGTTTATTATTGAACTCTTCATGACCCCGTACAGAATTCTACATTTTCTATTAACTCCTGTTATGTCTGCTTTGCCAATTAGTCAAGAGAATTATTACCCACATATTTTCTTTCTGTTTATTGCCAATTATTGTAGTTGTGTTTGTATCAATAAAATATTAATATTAAGGCATAGCATAAATATACTGTACTGTGTATGATAGAGAAACGTCGGGTTCAATATCCAGAACAGCTTTTATTTACTTACCACTTCTAATCCCCCTTGCCCGTTATTATTAGTGCCAACCAAAAAACCCATATCTCCGCTCCATTGTTCGGGGGTACAGCATCCTAGCGCTAAATGGCAAAGCAATGGAACCGTTAGAACTCTGAGAAAGATGGGCTTCATTCTGCTATCAACACGATTCACTGTGATCGTTCCTTGTTTATATTTAGCAAACCTGGTCACAGGGTATTTGGAAATTCCTCGTTGAGTTAGTAACATGACCTAGGAAAACAAGAGGCCCATGGGCCACATTGCTCACCTGAGCACACTGGCTAGACTAAGGCACAAATCAGTTCAGTAATGAATGGGGGGGGGGGGGGAAGGGGCTTGAATTTTAAACTACCTGATGATGCTTTCATGTCAATATAACAAATGAATTTGTTGTACATGAGAAGATTTTAAAAGAATTTTCCCATTTATTCCTTTGTAAAAATTTGATTCCCCATTGTAGCTCCTCCCTATCTCAGGGGTCATCATTTGAACAAACTTGAATCTACATTACCCGAGGATGCTTCCATATCAATAAGACTAACATAGCTTTTCTGTTCTTGAGAAGAAATTTTTTTTCTATATGTTCTTATGTAAAACTTTCTATCCCACATTGGGCCCCACCCTACCCCTGGGGGTCATCATTTGAACAAAATTGAATCTACACTTCCTGAGGATGCTTCCATATAAATTTGACTCATCATGGCTTTGCTGTTCTTGAGAAGAAGATTTTTCCAATATATTTCTATGTAAAACTTTGATCCTCCATTGTGGCCCCGCCCTACCCCTGGGGGTCATGATTTGAACAAACTTGAATCTACACATCCTGAGGATGCATCCATATAAATATGACTCTTCATGGCTTTACTGTTCTTGAAAAGAAGATTTTTAAAGATTTTTCCTATATATTTCTATGTAAAACTTTGATCCTTCATTGTGGCCCCTCCCTACCCCCGGGGGTCATGATTTGAACAAAATTGAATCTACACTACCTGGGGATGCTTCCATATAAATATGACTCTTCATGGCTTTACTGTTCTTGAAAAGAAGATTTTTAAAGATTTTTCCAATATATTTCTATGTAAAACTTTGATCCTCCATTGTGGCCCCGCCCTACCCCCGGGGGTCATGATTTGAACAAAATTGAATCTACACTACCTGGGGATGCTTCCATATAAATATGACTCTTCATGGCTTTACTGTTCTTGAGAAGAAGATTTTTAAAGATTTTTCCTATATATTTCTATGTAAAACCTTGATCCTCCATTGTGGCCCTGCCCTACCCCCGGGGGTCATGATTTGAACAAACTTGAATCTACACTACCTGGGGATGCTTCCATATGAGTTTCATTTTTCCTGGCCCTGTGGTTCTTGAGAAGAAGATTTTTTAAAGATGCTATTCATTTTTCACTAATTCTTAATTATCTCCCCTTGAAAGAGGGCATGGCCCTTCATTTGAACAAACTTGAATCCCCTTCACCCAAGGATGCTTTGTGGCAAGTTTGGTTGAAATTGGCCCAGTAGTTCTGGAGAAGAAGTCGAAAATGTGAAAAGTTTACAGACAGACGGACAGACAGACAGACGGACAGACGGACTACAGACAAAATGTGATCAGAAAAGCTCACTTGAGCTTTCAGCTCAGGTGAGCTAAAAACTAATTTATCTCTTTCATCATACCAGTTGGCGTTCGAGGGTGCATGGGCAGGTACTAAAGTATGTGCTGTACAAGAATATCTAGGTTTCTTCCTCTCCCTCTAAATTAAAGCTGATTTTTTTTTTAATGTAGATACCAAAACATCTGGTTATCTATATTATAATTGCGTCTCTAACGAATAAATCGAAATTCAAGTAAAGGGTCAAAAGTTTTTTTCCCCGCATATTGAATTTTTACTACTTAGTTTATATAAATACTCCATATCATAAACGTCACATATCAAAATCATTGCTTAAGTATTTCTACTGCAGCTATCACTACAAAAAATTCACAAATCATGCACCACTGTCTAGATATGAAGCTGATAATTTAATTCTTTTTTGTAAGTATTTACAGTTTTCTTTAAATATTTTTTTTTTACATTTATAAGGAAAATCTTGATGTACATGTAAGGACTTTGAGTTTCATTTATGTAGATTCCTATTAATCAAAATTACAAATATCTAACAAAGAATTGATCATACATACACATTAAATATGCTAGAACTAAGAGATAAAATTACTTTTATTATAAATCTTTAATAGATTTTTATTATTCCATTCTACTTTCAGTACTGATCAAAAGTATTTCCGTCCTTTTATTATAAATCTTTAATAGATTCTGCTTATTGTGAAAACTTCAAAACGACAACAATAGCTAAAAAAAAATTTGTGAAATTTTTAGAATAGACGGTTTGCAAAGGATTGTATAGTAAAAATTAAAAGGACGGAAATACTTCTGATCAGTACTGAAGGTAGAATGGATAACATGTCGCGCTGAAATTACATGCAATTATAAAA